AACAGCTGAAGCGTCGCTCAAGCTATCAGGCCTTACCGCTAATCGAAACTAAAAGGCCCAGTGATCTCTATAAGGACCTGCACCACCCCATTTTCCAAAATATACGCTTAATACAGATGGAAAATACGCGTGGCATTAATGTAACGCAAACAATTGTCACATTAACCAAGCTGATAACACCGCCAGCGCTGCAACAGTGTCTGCAATTCATCTATACCGGCACAATTGAAAGGGAATTTCACAATTTGCAGGTGTGTGTGTGTGTGTATGGCGAGCATGAATGAATAATTGTTGTTGTTATTGTTGTTGAACTTAATTATTTTCCTTTTATGCTTTGCAGGAAATTAAACAAGCTGCTGATTTCTTAGAACTGCCTCAATTGACTTTATTACTTTCCAAGCCACAAACACTTTTAGCCAGTCTAAACGATGAACCCAATCAACATTTATGCTTTGTATGTATACATACATATGTATTTGAAGCGCTTTTATCTAACTGTTCTCTTTTTTAATGTAATTAGAGCATTAAAGAGAATATGGAGAAACATTGCATTGGCGATGGTTGCTTCAGCGATGTCACTTTCGAGTTGGACGATGGTCAAATGAAGGCACATCGCGCCATTTTAGTTGCACGCTGTGATGTTATGCGCGCCATGTTGGCTGGCGACTTTCGTGAGGCGCACTCAAGTGTGGTGAGTATGGGTGNTAATTATCCTTTTTCCAGATCGTCTTTCCCGGTGTCACGATTTATACATTTCATAAGTTGCTCTGCTATTTGTACACAGATGAAATACCTCCAATTTCCGCAGATAAATGCTTAAACCTTCTAGAATTGGCTAATCGTTTATGTTTGCCACGACTATTGAATTTGGTGGAATGTCGTGTAATTGAAGACTTAACAATGATTTCGCAGAATGAAACAAATGAAACGGTCGATCATTGTCTAAAGCTGCTGGAGCCGGTGAAGGTGAGAAGAAAAACTAAGATTGAGTTAGGATTTGATTTTGAATTACTCAGTAGAACAGCTACATATTAATGGCCTCATTAAAGAAATGTGGCAACGTCGCTACATTTTAACGTGTAGGAGGCAACGTCTACAACTTCATTACAAATACTTTCACAACGCGAAAATTTGTCCACAAAGACTAGAATTAAACGGGCAGTTTTTGCGTAGAAAAACAGCAAAATAGAGCGGCGAATGGTTCTTCGTTTACAATATCTGACCAAACGATATGTTTTAGAGATTCCGCCTCCTGAAATACATAGCTGTATACATGTATGTATAATTAGTTTCTTACAAGAAATAAGTTTGGTAATTTGTTGAAGAATTAGGTAATTCTTTTTTTTTGGGGGATTCAATAACGTACATTTTTTTTTCAAATCCTTGTTTGATATCAAAACGAAAGCGTACTTCTAATAATCACGATTTCACTGTAGATGATTTAAAACTGTAAAAAGTAGAAGATGATATTGAAAGTCAACATCTTAACTTACTAAATTCTAAAAATTTAAATAAGAACATGATATTTGTATAGAAAAAACAAATAAAGGGAATAGATAGCTATTAAAAATTATATCATTCTTGAGCTTAAAGACCTCAAATTTAGTCACAAAATTCGCCCAAAAACTATATTTTTGCTTACTATTTATTTGCCCACTATTTATTTGGGATCAAAGCACTGTGCGTCCAAAGATGAAGCTCAATAAAGCACATTGAAAGGGTAATTATTTAGAGGGTCAAAATGTTCTACAAAATAAAATTGAGTATAAAATTTTCCTAGAGCTCACTGGAGGCGGAAAAATCCAATCGTTAAGGCTGAACCCACACCGAAGACGACAAAACGTTTTTTTTTTTGACGACCGACAAGAAAACATTTTTTTCTATCCCATTTTTGTCGTGTGATTGACAACTCAGCGCGTCTTTGCAAACAAACGATTCAAAATTCATACACTTCAATTTGAGTTAATAGGATGGTTCTTATGAGAGCAATGTCAAATTCAATCACACTTTG